GTTTTTGTTCGTTTTTGTTTGGCTTTCAGCTTTGGGTTTTTTTTGTTTGAAGCCCCACAATTTGATATACACAAATCGATTTACTTGCGCATGCAAATAACTTTATTTGCTTAGTGGGTAAGAAGGGAGAGACAGCTGAAAAAAACACAAAGGACGGAGAAACTGTTAACAAAAAGTCGACAGCCGGGCTGCTTGGCTCAGCAGCCAAACAAATTTGCATAAATCGCAGTTGGTAGCACACAACACAGCCAACACACATACCCCCGGCACCCACACATATGTGCTTATTCACACCCAAACCATATATACCCATACCCCTAACCGTATATATATGTATCCTGATCCAAAGCGACACAGCCATCGACATCGCCATCGACACGAAGTGAAAGGCGCAAAGACTAAGTGCATGCTTAAGTGTTTTCTTTTCTATTTACGTGCCACATCGTTGGAGTGAGCAGCAGTGTCGTTTGTTTGCTCTGTTGCGGCTTGTGGGGCCACCCATCTATCCTAACCCAACCCCCCTGCATATGTAAATCAAGGTAAACAGAAATCTGTTACAGCATGATACCATTACAATGACATGCAACGGACCCCAAACGACACACCTCCAAACCCCCCCCCCCCCAAGTTGGCCTGGCCAAAACCACCACAGAGTAAACTAGATACTTATACACGTGTCTCATATTGACTGCGATATGTTATACAAATGAGATATTGATGCCTCGCCATTACAACTCCGGGGCTACAACAACAGGACGCCGCCCATTCAGCTCAGCCAGCCAGACGACGTCGTCCTCGAGTGACAGCAAACAACAGGAACAGGAATAGGAGTAGGAATAGAAATAGGTGTGGGAACAGGACCAGCAGCAACAGCAACATCAGCAGTGGTAACAGCAACAGCAACAAATGCATGAAAAGCCGCCGTAATGGGAGAGGCAGGCCTCAAAGTCCTAGATCAGGCTGTGGGCACTCGGATTGTTTAACCCATTATAGGTCGCTTTTAAGCTAAAATCTTTAAGGTAATTCGAAAAAATAAATTGATTACAAAATAATATAGAACAAATCAGTAACAGATTAAATACATGTAGCACATGATACCATGTTTTAAGACAAACTAGAAAACTTAAAAGGAAATGAGTTCCTAGCATTCATCTACACCACTCCAGTTAATTTTGGTAAAAATTGGGAAGTTCTAGCTTTAAAGATATAGGATCTGTCTTAAACCTCTCATTTTTTTAGCGACAGTTTTATATATATAGATAAAAAAAAATTAAATTTTTAAATATATTTATTGCGCTTAAATAAATTTAAAAAAATATTAATTTAAATGCAAAAATATTCAAGTCTTAACCTTCAAACTAGTATTCATAAATGGGTTAACTTGCGGCTGGCGTGGCTATGCTGTAACTGGTTACCCCATCAAAGGTACTGCCTTACGTAACCAGATGCGGCAGCCCCACAGGAGAAGGCAAATCTAAGGAAAGGGAAAACGGGGAAAGGCTTTCTCTTTTCATGTGCGTGTCCAATCGCAAAGCAATCGAATCACACGGAGGGAGATACGGAAAATGGAATGCGGTATCAAAGCTAGGCGAAGAAAAGCAATCTGCAGGCAGAATGCAAAAGTAGAGGCAAATAAAAAATGAAGGAAAGAACTGAGTAATTAGAAATTGAAGACCAAAAGTTGGAAACGGAAAAAGTGAGTCTTAAAGAATATTTCAAATGAATAAAAAAAGTCCATTAAAAGTAGACCATGTCCCATAAACTAAATTTGATTTTTGTTCAGTCACCTAAAATGCCATTACGATCAGCGCGAAACCAATTTCAGATCAATATCTCAAAAAAACTTTGGTTGTGAACAAATTTGAGCTTTGAAAAAGAAGGGCACCACCCCCCTTTTCCCGCCCTCAATCACAAAAAACAACGATTACGAATCGGGTGAATCGGAGGAATCGGGGCAAAATGCAATAACTGAATACAAATTTGAAATGTGGCGGAAATTGAAATCGAAGGCGTTGAAGTGATTTCGTCTCGCAAAAATTCAATTGGAATGGCAGCGGCAACAATCGTCTTGCACAACAAGAACCACTTCGCTTTCCCCTTCTCCTCCCTTTGGCAGGTCCCCTTTTTCGCAGGTCCTTATTGTGGCAAGGCTTCTGGTTACGCGGTTATTTGGGCTCCTTTCACATCCTTTGGCCCCTGTGTGTGTGGCTGTGTTGTTGGCTGCACAATTTTTCCGCTGCATGCAATTTTAATGCGATTTTGGATTTGATTTGTAACCGAAAAATAAGCCACACAAACTTTTTCCTCTCGAAAGTGGTGGTTTGCTGGTTGCAACTTGGAGCTGTGGTTGCATTGTTGCCGTTGTCGTTGTCGTTGTTGCCCCCTTGTTGTTGCTGCCTCGGTTGTTAAGTGCAAATATAAATTCAACGGCGGCACCCTGAAAATGGGGAGCAAAAGGAAGGAGCAGGAGAAACCGGGAGTTGGGGTCAAATATTTATTTGTTGCCGAGCACAAATTTTATGCTGCATACTTTCATGCGCCGCTGCTGCAGCAAAAGCAAAAACAGGAGCAACACAATGTGGCACAAGTCACCAGGACTCCACTCCACTCCTCTCCTCTTCACTTCCTCTGCAAAATGGAAGCGAGGCGCATAAAACCTTCCGCTGCCATTCAAGTGGAAAAGTTTAAGCCAACTTTTCCAGCCCGAAAAACCCCATTCCGCCAACAATTCAAGCGCGAAAATGCGCGCACTGAAAAATCATTCAACGGAAGTCGCAACAAAGGGGTGGTTGCAAATTGTGAGGGGGGGTTGTCACCACGAAGGCCCCTGACTCTAAAAATGGCCAATTATGCCCATTCGACGGAAAATGCCTTGCACAATGGCCACTGAATGGTAAGTTGAAGGAGCAAAAAGCAACTAGCGCATTGCGTATGCGCCCTGTTGTCGACTTTATTTATGCCGACCAGCGCGCCAAACTTAATTAAACTAACAACACGTCAGTCGAGGGGTCAGAGGTCACAGGCAGCCGGCACTTGGGGCCACTGGCTAAAACTTGAAGAGAGCGGCGCACAAGAGCCGCAAAACAATTGTAAACTCAATTAAATCCAAGCACCGCTGCGGCACTGGACTCTTAACTACAGGCCCAAGTTCTCTGCTCGAAAAGTCCAGAATGCCTTCTATTTTACAGCAAACTTCAAGCACGCAGAAAAATAAAAGTAGTTATACTTAATGACAAATTTAAAAATATTCAAAATTTATTACCATTATCCACTGAAATTACTGTTTTCCCTGGAATTGCAATATAATCTAAAAATATTCTGGGGATAATATAATTTAATATGAAAATATCATTACTAAAATATTGATAAATAAGGGACTTTCTCAATCATATCTCAAAAAAAGAGATATATATAACAACAACATTCTAAACAGATTTCAGCCTAATCGACTGGCATTTTAAAATTTAGTCATCTAATCAAAAACTGGTTTATAATTTACACTTTGCAATTTTGTTTAGGTTAAGAAAACAAAAAAAAAACATAATAAGTTTTTTTAAAATATAACGGATTTTAAATAAAAACAGTAATAAAATGAACTTAAAATTTGTTTAACAAATAAAAATTGGTTTATAGTAAATAACTTTAACTTGATTTTTTCCAAGTGTAAACAATCTTCAGTAGGAACCAGTCTCCCAGGCTGTGCTGATAACATACGACAGTTGTGACTTTAAAAATCCCTTTTCGCAATTTTTGCACAAAACTTGTGCAGGATTAATGGTCCGAACGGCCCAGGCATCCATGCAATTAAAATGCAACAACAAGGAGGAGCTGGAGTAGCAGAAGGAGGAGGTGGGGCAGCAGAAGGAGGAGGTGGGGCAGCATCTAGTGTGGCATAGTGGCAGCAACAGCTGCAGCAGCTGAAGAGTGGGCGGAAATGGAGCAGAAAGATTGCTGTGACTTTGGAGCGTTTGAAAACTCGCATGTGTGACGGGAAACGGCCGAAAGCCCGGAGATAGCCACGCCATTTTAAAGTGGCTGGCGAGGCAGCAAAACGAGCAGTGGATGTGTTGTGTAGAAGGGGGTAGTTTCCACACTAGTTAGTGTGCCTCATGGGGGAATAGGGAGATGCGGATGCGGCACAGTATTGTCCGCATATACACACTCTACGACTATGGCTCCCCAGCATTCTACGCTTTTTGCCCGCAACGGGCCAAAGACAAATAATGCAATTTCCTGACTAACTCATTTGGGGTGATGGTGGTGGACTCCAAACTGCAGTTCCGTGTCACTGACACTTGGCCCTCTTGCTGCCTACCCACTCAGACATTTATTACCTAGTCGGTAGTCGCTGCGAATGATCAAAGAGGCGTGGCAGTTCGTGGAAAACCTCCTTCAAAAAAAGAGGCAGTCAGCGGTGGATGGATCACTTGCCCAGTAGACCTCTGCTCTCCCTTTTCCACGTGACTCAACGCTACTCGCAATCCCTGTGGGGCAGCTGATGCAATCATTGGCAACTTCTGGTTTCATGTTGCACCACTCCACTCCGCACACACACGAAAACACACACACAAGATTAATGCGGTTCAGCATCGAACTTTAAACTCATTTTTAGCCCTGCCACCAAGGACCGAGGACCAAGGACCTGTTCGCCGTACATGTGTTGCGCCAACCAGGAGCATGTCCTGCAGTTGGTCCTTGCTCCTTTCGCTGGCCCCTGTAATTTGTACCTCCCATCATTCGACGTTCGTTGTTGTTTGTTTTGCGCCAAAGTTTGCGGCGACAATTGTTTTGCGGTGTTGCAGCTGGCAAACAGAAAACTCAGACTCGCAATCCCAATCTCACACATGCGATTGGAATTCCTTTCTGGAAATATTTTCTAGAATCGAAAGATTTATGGCCCCCGGAAATGTCGCAGCAGTTTAATGTTGCCTTCACCGCGCTTATCATATCTCTTCGCCCCACTCAAGCACCACCTCATATATCAATTATTTTCCAATCAATTTAAAGTTAATAACATTTCAACTCGGACACTTTTAATCGCGACGAAGAACTATAATTAAAATGCCAGACGAATGGACATCATATCTCACATATCTCATATCATCAGTCATCGACGCAGTTGCGCAGTGAGCGCCACACGGACCACTCGAAGCATCCCAGGTAGCCGCCCTGGTTGATGAAGGCCTTACCATCGGGACAGGCCACCTCCTTGGCTCCCTCGCTGGTGCACAGATAGAAGCTGGCCGGATCGTCGCAGTACTGGGGCTGCATCTTGCTTTCTCCCGTGCAGTCGGGCACCTTGGTGTCCAGGTTCACGCAGGAGGGATTTATCATGTCCGACTCCAGGCAGCCCATTATGGTACCATTGTTCACGAAGTAGTAGCCGGGATCGCACTCGTCGGCGATCACAGTGCCGTCCAGGCAGAAGTAGAACTTGCGAATGTCCTCGCCGCCCCACAATTCGTCCTCCGACTGGCAGACAGTGGTGGCATTGCTGGCGGCCCGGTCTCCCAAGGAGGCGGCGTTGCAGAGAGCCAGGAGGCCAAAGAAAATCACGAGGGCTTCGGGATGAAAATAATAAAAAATTAATAACCATTAATAAGCAAAGAAATTCCTTTTAAACTAACGTTTTATCTTTTAAATACTTTAGTATCATTCTTAAATTCGTATCAAATAAGAAAATTTTACTTTCAAATGTTATTTATTTAACTAGGCTTTCAAAATTAGTATTAAATTTAATTTTCTGAATAGGAAAAATCCGGAAAAAATAAATCAAAGATTTTTTTTCCAATCACAAAAATAGAGTTGTTTAAGATCTAGGATATTCGTGTCCTTCATCACTTACGCACTTCACTTTATCCACTTTGTAACCGATTTAAATCAATTTTTAATTAATTTTCAAGTTGTTTACCTTTCAGCATGGTGTATCCTTTAGAGCTTCTTTTCGTTTCAAAAATTTAACACAGACTAACGACTAGCAGGCGATCGCTTGGACTTTTATAACATTCTATCCGATCGGGGCAACTTATCGGGTCTCTCGAAAGCACTACCATATCATTGTCAATGCCAATGGCTTGTTGACACCTCCGATGATGAACGTATAATTTGGCTTCTGGTCTTGCCCACATTGCTTATCGGATGTTTTTCGTTTCTTATGCAGATAATGGCAAATTCTTGGCTTAATTTACTCTGCTATTCTGCGTTTTCAGCAGATATCGCGTCTCAAGTGGTTGATGAGCGGTTCCTGGAACCGAAAGCGAAGTAGCTATGATTCTGATTTCGGGGTGCCAAATGTGTTTTTCGGGCTCTCGGTGTCACCTGCTGCTCACGTCTGGGAAACTTTTAATTGAATTCCCTGGCAGCAGAAGAAGCAGAAGAAGAAGCCAACATCGATAGCAAGCCTATTGGAATTTATGTCGATTATATTGTCAACTTTGCCGGCGCTCCACGAAGTTTGCCTATTTAAACTTGGGACTGGCGCGTAAATAGAGTGCAAAAAGTGGAGTGAAAGGGAAGTTGAATTGACAACGTGACTCAGCGAGAGAAGCCAGCAGAACTTTTTCTTCATTTCTGCCGAGGTTATGGGTTCGTGTCCTGGCCGCAAAGTGACTTCTTTGCCGGCGGCGCAGCTGAGCTCCTCCATTTGGGCGCTCTAAGCCAAATCAATTAGAACTTTTGACAGCAGCTGGGCCTGCAACTGAACTGGGAACTAAGAGCTAAGAACCTCAACCCAAAATCCATTCACTCCATACTCCATTATCGCAGCCGTAAAGCGTAATTAAATTTTCAACTGATTTCTGCAGCAATAATTTTCAATTTTGCTTCATTTGAAAGGCAATTAATGTCCGTTGCTATCGCTTAGATAAGGCACATGTGTGGCTGCTCGTTTTTTCGGTAGTCCGTTTTAATGATTCATTAAGACAAGTTAGCAGGGGAAATTCTTATGGCAGTCGAACGATGAGAGTAGGAAATTTTTATACCCAGCTATTGATTTTGAAGACTTATCTACCGGGGGAAGAAAACTTTAAACCAGTACATCTTATCTAATCAACCGAAATGCTGTTTAAGAACGAAGAGCAACGACGACGTCACTTTAGTCTAAAATAAAAATGCCCGAAAAAACCGATGAAAAATGACTGTAAAAATAGCAGCGATAAGGTTTGCCCAGGGAACATGGAAAGTCATGCAATGAACGGGGGTATAAAAACGAAAGACAATGGCGACGACATCAATCAGTCGAGTTTTTCAGCAGAAAGAGCAGCAGCAGTAGGAAAAGCAGCAGCAGCAACACATAAATTTATTAACGAACCCCGAACCTTATGACCAAATGATGAGAATCGCGCAAAAATAACACAGAGCTTACCACCGACGAATTGTAAAATAAGTAAAAAACCAAGAACAAAGTTTGTGTGTCATAAATGCTGTTCGTGATGAAATTATTTATGAAAAATAAATGGAGAATTTCCCACTGGATGCTGCTGGGTGTGGGCGTTCTGCTCCTGATGACGGAGGTGGCATGCGGATCCACTGACAACAACCAGCCAACAACCACGAATGCAACATGCAGACATGCCACGGACATGTGGGGAGATCCGGACCCCAACATATTCTACGTGTGCTCCCGTCCCGATTCCGCATCCGCATCCGAATCTGAATCCGACGATTCTGGCGGACAACCGCTGCAGCTCGAGTGTCCGCCGGGTCGGGGATTTTTCAGCGGTCTCGGTTATCTGGGCTGCCTGCCCTACGCCCAGTGGCCAGCCTGCAGGCCCTCGGAGGAGCAGCTGGCCGCCGAGTTGGCAGCTGGCTGTGACAGCGATACCAGGCCCTGGGCCTCGCCGGATCCCAATCAATTCTACCTGTGCCCCGGGCCGAAGGCCACACCTCTGCTGCTCAGCTGCTCGGGGGGCAAGGGATTCGTGGCCAATTCCGAGGTGGTCGGCTGTGCGGATTGGGCCCAATGGCGACGCCAGCTGCAATGCGAGGACTACTACTGAGATACCAGCCATATGTGTACAAGCTATTTCAATAATTGTCCACCCCAGACGAAACAGACTCGAATCTTATTTAATTTATTGGGTAAACGTACTGCGCCATTTGACTCACTAGTTCTTCTTTTTTGTAAATAAAGTAAAAAGTTTCTATTTATTACCGATGAGCGTGTTTTGTTTCGACCGATAGACTTGTTGAACAGTACAGATAAGGAGAGCAACATATTGATAACGAAATCAATTTGAAAAAAATTCTAAAAAAACTTTAATACATTCCTTTTGCAAAATTAAATTTGCTGCTAGTAATAAACTTGCTTTTTAGTACTCTTGAATTTGGAAAAACTTCTTCTTTAATGTTAGGAATAACCAAAATAATATTTTTGTTTGCAAATTGTATTTTAATAAAGTAAAACAATAAACGGTAAGCCTTTTTTATGAGAGAAAATTACAATTTTCTTTTAAAAGTTTTTTCCAATAAATAATCTTTCAAACATTTTTCTTTACCGGAAAATATTTGTGTTTCTGTTGAAATAAAATAAAACAATGAACTTAGAATTTTTGTATTTCCAAATAAATATTTGCAGATAATAAAATCGTTTTATAAATCGTTTAAGTTAACTTAAACTAAATACTACAAATATTTTTGTTGACAATTTGTATTTAAAACGAAGCATTTGTATAAATTAAACGGCACAATTTCTTCCGAAAACAAACCTACTCAAATGTAAATAATACCGGTCCACAATAGAGAATATTTTTGGGTTGAGCTAATGCTTCTCGACAAGCATTACATTGTTTTGCGGTATTATATTATTTAGAACACTTTATTGTTTCACTCTACTTCGGGGGGATTAGTGAATGGCAAATAATACCTCAACTGCCGGCATTGCTGTTCATTGCAATTATTGCTCATTTGAGCATATTAAATGATGATGTGTGTGCTGCACATGGGGCAAATCCTTTTAGTTCCCACACTCCCGCAAAGCCACGCATTATCCTTTGCCATTACTCTCCTTTTCTTTTGCTCTTTCTGTCTGCGGGATGGTGGAAAAGCGCAAAACTGGAGGTCTGGAGGTCAGCATCCCTTTGATGTGCCCCTTTGCTTTGTCACAACCTCCTTTTTTATGGCAGCAGCTGGTCGGGCAGCCTGGTCTCTTCGCCTCGTTTACAGGCTTAAGCCTTTGTCCTCGTCCGCCATAAAGCATTCACCTGGGTACACGGGTATACGAATAATGACACATGCAGCTGGGCGCCGCATAAAAAAAAAGAAAGGAAAGCGAAGTCGGAAATTGCATTTTGCTTTGAGCGCGTCCAGATGCAGGAAATTACTGTCAACTGTTAACGGCCGGGATAGGATCATGACCATCCCACCCACCACTTTAATAAATCTTCAATTTGCATATTTCTTTTCGAATTTTACTCGCTTTTTTTATCTGTCGCCTTTCCCTGGCCATTAATCAATGCCCCGCGGCGATGGCAGACAACATCACGTATACGCAGTTTTAATTGCCACTGATATAAAAGTGTTTAGCGGTTGGGGTGGTAGAGTAGCAGGGTGGCTGGGTTTTTGACTTGAATTTAATTAAATGTTTACTTGCTGCTCTCAGCAGAAATCAATGAAGGCGACTTCTAATTTATTGCCTGTCCAATGAGACCAAATGCTGACGCAGTAAAGGGAAAAGTAATTAACCGATTGGCAACTGGAAAAGCAGCTGATAATATCCTTGTCGTTTAGGGAGCAGCGCTGCTCCAAAAGTACCTATGTAATAAATAAAGAGTTTAGGGCAGCAGCACTCCTCACCGAGAATCAGCTGGGAAATCAATAGACCGCCAGCATCATCGATGTGGCTATTAGCCCAACTCGGATTCCGATTCCACCCAGGACCCATGACGCCCCGAACTTACCCACTTACCAACTTGCTACATGAGGGACTCTCCATTTCGTTGATTGCCCCACCGCAGGCGCAATAATATTGATCGTCTGCAAATGTTGTTCAGCTGCCCTTCAATTTATGTTCTCTCATTGCTGCAAATTTAACCGAGCCCGACAGACAGGGACACAGAGCACAAGGGTTAATGTGGCAATGCAAATCCCAAATATGGGCAAAAATGCAATTGCAAGTGGCAGCAGCCAGCAGTGCGAATGTGGCACCAAGGCCGGCAGCAGGGTTAAAGCCTACACAGGAGGCAAACAAAGAGCGACTGAGGGTCCGTTGCAATTGCAGTTGCCACTGATATACGGGGATTTAATCCAGGAGCGGACTCGATGGCCATTTAATAAATGAATGAGTAATAAAAGAATTTATTAAATTTCTTGGTGAATAAAAATGTTACATTTTTAGGAAATGTGTTTTCAGCAGTATTTTTAATTGATTTTTAATTACTTCCTCTCTTTATTTTACACAGCAAAAAAAAAATTGGATATGAAATAGGTCAATTCTACCTCATTTCATATCAAATTTATGATTCATACATATAAGCGTGATATTTTATCATATCATTTAAAATACCAAATTTAGTTTTCTTTTAACAAATAATGTAAACCAAGATAAACATAATCTGTATTCAAATCAAATGACAATTGACCTCCACAATATCATCAATATGATCTTTTGTCAATTTTATTTCCTGTGTTTATATTTTTTTATTATATTCCATCTAAATAAATCACAAATTAATTAGTTAGTCAACCCACTGGCTGCTCTTTTTGTGTGGTTTCATATTTCCAAGTGAAATGTGCTATGAAATGGATCTATTCCCCCTGGCCAAGTGCCTCCGCTCCTGGAGCCTCCGCCTGCTGTGCTGTGGCTTCAATCCATTTACAGGTGTTTGCCCAGAGTCAATGCATACGCAGCCAGCCGTAAAACATTTGTCACATTTGCATTAAAAGCGGCAGCAATCCGGGGACCAGCTTTATGTGTGTGTTTGCACTAGCACTGCAGCAGCAGCAGCGGCAGCATAACCCAAACCAGAGAGGAGATCCCGATCCGAAACCCACATTCACATCCACATCCCCATTCCCATCCACGCCCACACCCGGATGGCTATGCAATTTATTTGCACAGTGCACTTGCCAATTAATTCTTATCTCAGCAGCAGCCATGCAGGTTGCTTTCCCGGCGACTGCATAAATCAATGTGCCTGAAATGATAACTCATGCGAAGGGTGCAGCTATTGCTACCCAGACCCGTATTACCCAACTACCCATATAGAGTCGTGTATTCCGGCACACAAATCGTACTCCTAGATCGGCCTTCCCTTCGTCTGTCCCTTCGATTTGGTTTCGAAGGCCCAAAATGAGACGTTACGTTGGGGGTTTGAGGAGGCATTGTGTGTCTAGGAACTGCAGCTCACTCAATTTCATGCTGTCAAATGTGCTGGCAAGACTCGCATTCTCCGAGGGCACAGGCGCAGGGATCCTTTGTCCCGAGTCCCGAATCCCCCATCCCTTCCAGCGGCGTCTAATTGAATTGCACTGCGATAATGGGCGTTTCAGCTTTGGTGGCACCTCCTAATTGAAAAGTGTTGTTCGCACTACCAAGAGATTTACTATAAAACTGCCCCATTCATCTTCTGAGTCGATTGAGATTTAAGCTGAGTATTTTTAGGGATTATTAACTGGAGAATCTGTCAGCCGGCAAAATGAATTCATTTAGTATTCCATTTGTGGTCGGTCACCTGTGCATATGACGCATTATTCATGCATTCTAATTTGATAGTAAAACCGGAAAGAAGTCTTTCTCAGCTGTTATTTAAATGGAAATCTCTTTGGCCTGCGTTGTGAGTGTGGATTATCCTGGGGCCACAAACAATAAGTGACTGCCCCCGCATAAATTCATATAATTAAAGCGATCCAATTATAATTGCTGCGAGTTGCTGGCTGGTCTCCTGTCTGCAAATCTCGGGGACAAGGACAGGCCGCTTCCTGTTTTCCAACGCCCTCGCCTCAGGTGAGAGAGGCACAAGGGAAAAGCTGGCGCGCCCGGGTAATTAATTATGTCGGCTGCAATGACGGTACTGAAAATATCCGGTAAGGTAAGCCCAGGTCGGGCCAACAGGGGCAAATACAAAAAATCTAGAGCAGGGCCAGCGGAAACGGAAATAAGCACAAACAGTTGGCGACGGCGAAGGAAAGCGAAACAAACAAGTCGCTGCCTGCGCGCCTTTTGCCCAAAATGATTTATTAGAAACGACATTTCAATTTTTCATCGCCAAGTCTCGGTTCCGCCTTCCGCCATCCGTCGTAAATAAGAAAACGCGTAGAAATAAATATAAATTTGCCTGTTGACAAAAATGTAGCAATTTCACATGCAACTAAATGCGTATTTCCGGCCGGAAGAGCCGTCTGTCGACAACGTTTGTGCGTAGGTGGGTGGCAATGTAGGAGAAAGTAGGGAAGGAACTTCCGCTTTTTGCCGCCATTTTGCTGTTTGATTGAGCTCGAGTCCTTGTTTCCTAGCCGCCAAGAGAGAAGGTGCTCAAGCAGCTCACAAAGTGTCCTTGCAGGAGAGTGTGCTTGAAAAAGAGACACGCCAAAAGGACACCCGACACCCACACACACACACTCGAAAGCAAACCGCAAGGAAACAATAAATTTGCTGCAATGCGAAACGGAAATGTTTGCAACGGAAATAGAGGAAACGCAGCACTACCACTACTACAACTACTGCAATGGCAAAAGTCGCAGTTGTCCTTTGCAATTGTCGCACGGCGAATGCGAATGGCAAACAAACAAAGTAATTGGTCCACACAAATTGCCGGCCGAAAGAAAAGTGGCCAGAAGATGGCTGGGCTGGGAAAATGCGAGAAAATAGCCACTTGAAGGGAGGGAGGGAGAGAGTGGGGTGGCTAGTAAATTTTATTATGACCATGACGTGCCTTTTTCCCCCACTCACCGGCACATAAATTATGCATATTTAGCAGAGTGAAATTGAAAACTAATTAATTACACTTGCAGCCCGGAGCAGCAGCGGCAGCAGCAGCAGCGGCTAAGTGAGGTGGACCCCGTTTGCTGGAGAAAAATGTTGTTCAACTTTTTAATTGCCAGCATCAAGTGTTTTTCAAATTGCTCTTGGCTGTAATTATGGT